AGTAATAATTAAAAAATAAAATTATTTGGTAAATTTTAAAAAAAAAAAAAAAAAAAAAAAAAAAAAAAAAAAAAAAAGGAAAAAAAAAAAGAAAAAAAAAAAACTATTATTGCGATTAAAATTTAAATATTATATTTATCTGAACCCGACATAAGTCGACTAGGTGTTTTTTTTTTTTTACATAAGTGAGATTAAGAAAATTCTCTAATGAGTTTTAAAGTTTTAAAGTTTTAAATTTTAAACTTCGCTTATTATTTACATGCATATTAACTTTTTTTTTTTTTCTTTTGCTTATTAGACCCACTGCATGATTCTCCCATTACATCCTTACCTTTCACAATACAAACGCAATAGAAATCTATTCTTTGCGTCTAACCCATTTCTTACTAGGGTCTTTAGGTGCAGGTGGTTTGGTTCTTCGTGTAATTCGTCTTGGAACTGCACTAGCTCTCTTACGATGATTAATTGGTCTTAATCGTTTCGGCCTATACTCTTCGTCGTCATCATCATATGTATCATCAGTATCATATTCAGGAACATTTTTAACTAAATTTTCATGTTTGCTACGTTTATTACGTTCAGAATTATAAGAATCCTCTGAATCTGTCAACGTAACCACTCCCATTTTATCCTTCTTTAATTTTGATTTTGATTCTATTTTTTCATTCTTTGCAGATATTGAGGAAGGACTATCTTCAACATCTATTACTGACAAATCATCTTGAACAGTAGGAGGAGTTAAAACCGATTCAGCATTTGACGGACTCAAAGATCCAATCTGATTCTTTTGATTCTTTTGATTTTTTTCATTATCACATCTTGGTGGTGTTAACGGTCTAGAAGATTGTTCATGTTCTTGATATTTATCAGATTCAGATTTTCCTTCCGATGTAACAGATTTACTTTCACCATTACGTATATCTGTTAAAATTAATGGATCAACATTGGGAGAAGCAGTATCAACAACTTTATTAATTAGGTCGCCTTTGTTAATTGTTGACGAATCTATTATACGTGAATCTATTATACGTGAATCGTCGATAGATCCAACTTTTGAAATAACATTGCTAGGCTCATCACCAGCCCGTTCCATGAAGTGACCTCGTTGCATTACATCATTGTGAAAATTACCCTTATAAGTATTAGATGTAAATGATTTGTTTATTTCATATTTACTACCAGTCATTATTGAACTGTTGTCCATTACATCATAATTAAGAGAATAACTGAATGAATTTTGTTGATCAACCGTATTACTAGCCATATTACTAGCATGTTTAACATGTTGACATGGCATTTGATGTACGCCACGAACATGTGTACTCTTATTAGAGTGAACAGAACGACGATTCAATGCTTGATATGTTACTGCACCACTGCCATCAGTTGAATGACGATTCTTTGCACTTGAAGTACTTCGGCCTCGTGTACCATAAGCCGTATGTTTTTTACCAGATTCAGTTGGATAAGCTTTAATTGGAACGAAACGTGGAGTTATCTTATTTTCTTGGGAACCCGCTTTACTTCCTGATGTTACTGATTTATTTTTCTCTTTTTCAGAATCATAACAACTAGGAGTTGTTCCATAGACATTATTTGTCACATGATTAGTAATTGGAGGTAAACCAACAACTCCGTTATTTTTAACTCGTGAATCGTTACAAGTAAAATTATGAGATATTGGAGGAGGCCACTCCAATGATTTTCGATTATCTTGAGGCGGTGGTGGTATAAAACGTGGATCGCTTACCGGCTCTAACGGAGGTAATACATTTGGTTGTGGTAAATGAGGTGGTTGTGATGGTTGTGATGGTTGTGATGGTTGTGATGGTTGTAATGGTTGTAATGGTTGTGATGGTTGTGATGGTTGTGATGGTTGTAATGGCGGTAGAATATAACGTATTGAACCATTTTCAGAATTTTTTGATGGTATAACTTCCTTATTTGGAGAGCATGTAAAATGACCCTTATTTAAACTAGATAAACTAAATATACTAGATAAACTAGATAATTCTGGAAGAATCGGCCCCTTATTTAAAGTTGATGAATTTTGATGAATGCGTTTTTTATCCAAACATAATGAATCAAAACTATTATTAAAAGGTTTTGGATATGGATAATTCCAGGCTGTATGGTGTAAATGAGAATGATTCTGACCATTTAAAAATGTTGAACCATTATTAGAAGTTAAATATGAATGTGATGTATTTGGTTTTCGCCAAAACTGAGATTGACCAATTGATGAATTAGTTAATGATGACATTGATGATGATGATGATGACGAAGAAGAAATTGATAATGATGGCATTGAAGAAGACAATGAAGGTAATGTTGGTAATGATGAATGTGTTGAGGATGCAGTTATTGACTTTGATAATGGAGGCAATAATTTTAATGATGGAGAATGTTTTGGGGATAATACTAATGAAGATGGAGTGAGGGATGGAGATGCAGGATATGATAAGGACGATACCAAACCCGATGACGAGGCAGAGGAATCAATAAGTAAATTATTTCGGTAAGTAACAGGTTCATTTGAACCATTAATAGATTCAGCATGAGCAAACTGACGTTCTTTCATATGGACCGGATAAACGGGTTTTGGTTTACGTAAAAACGATAATATCTTAATATCAATAATATCAATACGCAAATTACGTAACCTAATTTTGAACGTGCAAAAATAAGTTTTTAAATGCTTTGTACTGTACGTAATAATGCGCTAATTTTAAAATTCTATAAATTCTAAAGTGGTAATTAAATTCTATTTACAAGGCGCGTATGATAATTGATTTTAACATATAAATTAATACATTGCTATAATATATCTATGTAATTTCTGGATATCTGAAAGGTTTCATTCAGATAACAAGCAAATTTTTAATTTGTCTCAGGATTTATGAGAACAGTTATAATCTTGTATATGTTGTAAGTGGGAACGGGATTTAAGTGGATTTGGAATTTCATAGAACTTTAGACTAGCGCTAGGGTATAGCGAATAGGGTTTACCAGTATATAAAATAAATTCCACCCTGAAATACCAGAATTCCACCCTGAAATACCAGAAATTCCTGTTCCCACTTACATATACAAAAAAATTAGATCGAAAGGTATTCGAAACAATCTCTTTAGTCATTCCATATAATTCATATAATTCATATAATTCATATATTCCATATATTTACTAATCTTTACAAGAGAAGGTTCTAATTGGTTCCCACATACTACATATTCCCAAATTTATAATGATTGTGGGCATAAAAAAAAAAATTTTTTTTTGCCTTAATAACGTTTAATATCATTCATTATTTTCCTTAATAAATTTTCTTAAAAATTCAAACAAAAATAACAAACCCAAATTTGGTTTAAAGTTTTGTACATAATCAAACTTGATAAAATTCTTGTTATCTTTGTTTAAAAAAAAAATACATGATTTCAAATTGACTCACCTTTCATGTGATACGTAGTTATAAAACTTTAAAAATGTAAATGATTTCATTTTATTTATTATTATATATATATATATATATATATTTATATATAATTATATATTATATATAAAGGAAATAATGCAAATATGTTTAAATCGAGACGCTTATTACACGTGCTCGATAAATATAGTCACGTGACAAAGTCTAGAATTGCCATGTACGCCAAATATAGAAAGTAATGCTAAAAGTTATATCTTAATCTAAACATAGTTCATGTAAGTCTATAGGTTCATTGCATGCTCGTGAAGTAAGTAAGCCTAATCCGAACAAACTTATTTGGCTTTATCATTATGCTTATCTATAGAATACGTAAATGTTTGTCAACCCAATAATGAATATAGATGTAACTCACATGAAAAAAAAATAATAATAATAAATATCTAAATTTAGGATATGTACGTGCGTATGATTGATATTCGTTTGTATGAATGATAATTCGTTTGCATGAATGATAATTCGTTTGCATGAATGATATTTCGATTCTATAGTTTTTCCACTCTCTTTTGTCCACAAAATCGATGAAGATGGATATAAGATCTATTGTGATTAAATTCCTCCATTAAGATATTTAAGGTTTTGCCCATATCTTTTTGTTTAACACCAAGACCTTTACCAAAAATCGATAACATAATCGAAAATAGATCACGTGCGTGTTGGTCGCACGCATAGCTGAGCCGGGCATCCCAACTTCCTAAAGGAAAATATCGTTCCACATGCTGAATGTTTTGAGTATTGGAAGATTTTATGAATTCTTTTGTTAAAAAAATCAGTTGTGGATTTATAGATCTTTTGTTCAAGAATTTTATAGCTGTGAAATGATATATATAAATAATTAATTTCTGATATAATTTCTGATAAAATTTCTGATAAAACTTCTGATAAAAATTTTAGAGAAAAATTTTACCTTCATTTGTCATTTTAGTGGTATATGTACCCGGATTTTTAATGTCAGTCTCTACATCAGTTATCTAAAATAAATTGTAAAATTGTAAAATAAATTATAAATTTGATTTTAACATCCAGTAAAATCTAGTAAATCACTAAAACGTTCTTCATACCTCAAACCAACATCCTGGTTTCAATACCTGCGTAATGAAACATGAATGATAAATCAGTATAAATTTATATTTAATAAATAATATTACATGTAAAAATTAATATATATTAATTATATATTAATTATATATTAATTATATATTAATTATATATTAATTATATATTAATTATATATTAATTATATATTAAT